TAATTTAATATAATTTAATAATTAGGAAACATATAATGGCATAATAAAGAATTTATGTCGCATGAAAATGTCAAAAGTGGCACTTGAGACCATTGAGAAATTTCAAGAACATGGATTTCATCCTAATGCAGAAACATTCTTACCTGTTTATAATTCACTTAAAAGGCAAGGGAATATTGAAGAATTTATTAGGCTGCATAGATTAATGAGGGACAAGAACGTATTCTTAAAATAATATAAGACGACTACATCTTAAAATAATATAAGATGACTACATCTTAATATAATATAAGATGACTACATCTTAAAATAATATAAGATGACTACATCTTATAATAATATAAGATGACTACAAAATTACTACATACAAGGTTGCTACTATACTGCAAGGTTACTATTACAAGTTACTACTATTATAAGTGTGACATAATGGTCATATTATCACAAGGAAGAATTTTCATCTTTTGATGATAATTAAATAATAATGTACCATCTTTTTTTTTTTGAACTAGCATTAACCATTTTCCAAAATTTGCATTTTTATTTTGTCAATAAAAAATCACGTAATTTCACGCATATTTTTTTCAAAATCTTTTACGCTTTTATTGGTTTTACATAAATGCGATTAATCACAAAGTTTCAATAATCAAATTGATTTCAGGAAAAGATTTTTTTTAAAAAAAAAATACTAAACAAAGAAACAAATTTAACTTTTCCGAAATTGTATTACTCTTGATGACCTAATCAAATTTGAAAAATTTTTTTATCGATACGTTAATACATTATTTTTGAAACATACAGTATTAGAAATCTTGTTAAATAAAAAGATATTTGTTTTCTATGTTATGCAACGCCGTAAAAACTTTGACGTGAGAAATTTTAATGATTATAACAATGAAATTGATAACGATAAGCGGTTGATTTGATTTGATTTGATTTGATTTGATTTGATTTGATTTGATTTAATTGGTACGTATAAAAATCGAAGCAATTATCAAAGAGAAAAAAAAATTTCGAGCTGAATTCAGAAATAAATATTTTAAAACAATAGATAATGGATAATGGAGCACAATCCACAATCGGACTTCATCAAGTTGCAGAAATTTGACCAAGAGTCAAAGAGAGATGCACAAATTTATACAAAATAGGTAAGGGTTGATTGAACAATGCTTATCGTCGTTATTCCTTTTATTTTTTTCTAGTTTGATCGTTGCATTACTTTAATTAAAACATCGTTTACCACTAACACGTAAATAGAAATATTAATGAGATTTATAGTAATTTGTTCGGATGAAACTTTGTTTCTTTATCAGGAGTTCCAATGAAAAAAAAACTTTTTTATAGTTCCTTATTGGTTGAAGGAATAATTACAAGGATGCTAATGTTAGGAAAAATAAATAAAAATAATGTTGCGTGACTTTAATTTAATTCACCCCCTAGGTATAATAAAAGAAGTTTTAAAGTATAGCATTTGCATGCTTCTATTTAACTTTAATGCGTAACTAATAGTAGATTAGATGGTTATTTTATTTCTTAGTATACTGTATACGTTAATATACGTTAATCTACGTTAACGTTAATATACTTAACGTTAATATACGTTAATATTTTACGTTAATATACGTTATTATCATTATTTACGTTAATATTTACGTTAATATACGTATAATATACGTATAATGTGTTAATATACGTTAATTATTTCTTAGTATATACGCTAATATGTTAATTACGCTAATATACGTTAATTACATTAATACGTATACGTTAATGCAAGGTCCTATATTTCGCCCATATCTTTACCTATAATCTTTTAAATAAATCTTTTAAGAATATTATCTTGCATCATTAGACATGTAATTTTTATGTTTACCGATTTTAAATTTCGTTTTTGGT